GCGCGAGTCGTACCTCGCGCCCTTATAGAATTGAAGCGGTCGTTCGGTGTTTAAAAAATGACATCAAATATTGAAGTGTTTATTGTTGTGTTAGTAATAGTTTCAGTTTTCAAAGCAAGAGTGCCTTAAATTCAGATTTATTCAGCATGTACCTACAGCCTTTAATAAAGGTTTTTTTTATGAAATGTAATGGCGCATTTGACCTCCATCTCACCTGATGGAAAGTGACGACGAGGTCGACGATGGAGCTTACACACTTATTCACTCTCGCGTTGAAAAGGTCCAAGTTATAACGTTTTATATTTCTCGTGATATATTTCAATATATCATCATGTGATGAACGCTTTAATTTTTTCAAATTATGTTTACAACCTGTAGGTACAATATACGTAATCTAATCTCTAATCTAATGTAACAAGGGTAACAACCCTATGCTCCCAGGGAAGTGCAGGCATTTACGCGCCGAACAGTCAGGAATTGCCTACTTGCTCTTATTATACTATGATTACAGCCTTGAAATTCTTATGATCAATTCCCAAGTTTTATTCAAAATTAAAATATTTTATAATCTTTAACTTTTTTTTTACCTTTTACACCCCTCCTGTAAGAATAAGGCGTAACTTTATTATGCTACTTTTCGGGGCAACCAAAAAAATAATAATGTTTTCATTTCTCATACTTTAAAAGTCCGTCATTATAGCCTTACGTAGTGGGAGTAAAATGCGTCATTTTAATCCCTGGGGTGCAAAAGCAGGTACTTAGTTTTTTAATATACTTCAAGTGACTTACATAAACTCAAAAACCAATACTTGCTCTAGTTTGTGTCAAAAGGTAAAAGTTCAATACGTGAAACAATAATATATTACAACTAAAACAACACTAAAAAATAAACACAAAAACATAAAAAGAGAATTATAATTCAACATCATAATATTTCATCAAAGTAAATAAAACCTACAGTTTCACAGAGATCGCTGCGCTGCTGAAATTCTATAAAAAAAATGTGCTACAAGCATATAGCAAAGCAAAGCAAGCATAGAGAATAGCAAAATCAACCATTAAAATAATAGCTCCTTATAATATAATTTAACCGCTATTTGTGAAAATGAGTCTCCATGCGTGTTTCACCCTTAGAAGTGGATGATTTTCTTCAAAATTAAATGGGACCACCATGGAAATACCCTCTTTCCAACAAAAAAAAGAATCATAAAAGTCGGTAAACAAATACCGGAGTTATCGCGTAACATTCTTACGAGAAAAAGACATGCAGTTGTATTGAGAACATCCTCCTTTTCTTGAAATCGGTTACAATAAAATAAAAGTCGGTATTAATCGAACATGTTTTTTAATAGTTCTGTCTTTGTATTCATGTAACAAAGATGTATATAATGTACTGACCTTATTTATCGAAAATAGTAATATTAAGCTTTAATATATATACATACCTTATCAGCTACTCACCTAGCCAGTCTACCGTATCCTTTTTCATTCTAGTTCCGTACCTTTTCCATAATCTGTAATTCTGCTTACTAACCCTTTCATTGACTAAATGTGAAGGCAATAATAATAATAATAATAAACCGTCTTTGCAGTGTAACCAATAACACCACTACCTACATGCCTGATTTATTTTCTTGTAAAAATATGACGATACACGAGATTTATCTTTTGATTTGATTTCATTCCATAACATATTTATTATTATTTATATAATATTGTATACTAAATCTATGGAGTTGCCGGGTATTTTGTTTTTATTCAATAAAAATAAATATTTCGCATAATATCGACTTATGCCAGTCTTCAATGGGGTGTGTGTTCTTTTGTTTGTTCACAGCTGGACAATGATGGATACATCTGGAAGTTCTCAAATGTTTCATATTCTAACTCTGAAAATCAATACGATGATCGAGTTAAACCTCTCTGCATGTCTAAAGAACAGGTAGATACTTACCTATGATTACTGTAAAACACAAAAACAAAAAAGAGAATTATAATATCTATGTACTCTGTAAAACTGATCTTCCTGGTACTTAATTTAACATGGCATGAGTGTAATAACACATATAATACAAATATATGTATACCTAATTTTCGTACAGGCACTACCAATCCTAGCAGCAAAGCATAGAAGTGGCAAATGGTATTTTGTTATCGACAAATTCCAAACTTTTGTCGTAAGGATTTGGTACGAAAATTTCTCAGTACTTCCTTGCTGCTTTGTAAATACCAGCTTTAACAAGAGAAGCAACTAGAAGTAATATTGTAATATCATTGATTATGTATTTCCAGTGTAAACGCCGAAGCGGCCTGTGGCACTGAGGCCGGTATTGGAATTAAGTTAGATAGCGATGCGAATAGCACGCAATGTAAGCAACGATATATTGAAGACTTCCGAATGACTATCGACGAAAATGGTATTTTAGGAGAACGTCTTCTTCTCTCAGCTGCTTGCTGCACTTGTGCTGTTATAGCAAACAAAAGGATTAAAGTTTAAGATATTCCACTTTACGGACAATTTTAAAACATTCAGTATGTAAACTATACTTCCGTGACTTTGAATAATTCCGTCAATAAGTTACAATCAGTCTCTACGTAAACCGAACGAATTCATAGTTTCAAAATGGCCACCGTAAAGATATAACGATTTCCCGCGAAAAAATGTCAGAAAATGAAATTAATGAAGAAAATTTTCAATCTAAAATATGGTGGCATGGCTAAATAGATGCCTAAAAGGGATTCATTAATTATCCTGCTTTGCAGTCCACCTTGCCGTCTGTCGCGTAGTGTTGGATCAGGGAAAAAATTCCATTTTGAAAAAATCATATTTTTCAGAACAATAGATATTTTTCCGGATATTTTTCCAATATTTTTCCACATTTAACGTTGACATTTACCAAAAGTTGAAGTTATTAAACGAAAACGATGGATCCATTATAGGGCATTCATTATATGTATAGGGCATGCATCATAATGCAGTCCGTCTTGCCGTCCACCGCGTAATGCAGGATTATGAATGTAGTCGCAGCGTGTAAGCCATCCTGCCATCCTGCAATGCGTCTTGCGAGGCTCCATACGTGGCCCATACGCAAGATAGTGTATGAAGCAGTATCCTGCCTGTGCGGCCGACTGCAATACAGGTAGTGTAACCGTTTTAGAAAGGTTATTTTCGCTGTTGCGAAATCAATATATTAGTTAAATCTCGTTTTTCTTTATTTTACGTGGATTTTAGCTATATAACTTTATTTTATAATTCACGCCAAATAAAATTTCAAAAGAAATTTCTAAACGTAGAACATAATAATTATGAGTCTTCGAAATGATATTTTTTTAATTTTTCATTTTTCCAATTTATCGGTATTTTTTTCGAAAATTACCCGAGAGTACCGCTGCGTAATGCAGGACTATGAATTAGACCTGTGTCGGTCGATCATTTTTGATAGCCCGGGTCGATCACTACCGTAATGTGATCGGATCAAATGATTCGATCATATGTTTGATCTTTCAGCGGGTCACACGTCCCTCACGATACTTCCATATGACGTTTAAAACTGTCAAATTATACAATTAGCTTTTATTATGTCCTGCTGATGGGTAATGTGTATAAAGTTAAATGCATCATTGATAAACCACACTTAGGACACTAAAATTTCTTTCTTGGAAAAGTAACACCTACAAAACAAAAATACAAAAAACTTACGAGCATTCAAAATTACTTATTTTGTTATTCATTAATATTTTAATATTAGCTAGTGCAGTCATAAACAAACACAACGTACAGAAAAATAGATTAAACTTACAAAATTACCATGTAATGAACACTACGCCATGCGCCACTGAGCAATTAGGATGAATGATTGAGAGACTCATTGATCCATTAACCCGTTGACTCGTTGATCGATTGCTTGACTTTTTGGTTCGACCGAAGGAAGATACTATTGAACAAATGTTCTACCCAAACGGAGAGTGAGAAAGCGAACCGTGTCGTGAGTGGGGACTTCACGTGAGAGTGAACGAAACAACAATAATATTGTGAATTGTTGAATAATCTCTAACATTATAGTGATAAAGTGGAATATTGCGCGCATGACCCATGTAACTCTAAAATGATCGAGCTATTAAGAAGCTAGTAACACAGGTTATCGGGTCACAGGTGCTGTTCGAATCATTTTGATTCGAGCAATCACGATCGACACACGTCTATCATGAATGTAGTCACAGCGTGCAAGCCATCCTGCAATGCGTCCTACGAGACTTCATACATGGGCCATATACAGATATGCAGTATATGGGTTCACATACGCAGGATAGTGTGTGAGCAGTCTCCTGCCTCCGCGACCGACTGCCATACGGGTAGTAAATGGACTGTTGTAGCGTGACCCGAAGGACAATCGCGTCGAGTATATCTTTTTTCCATCCTCTACGAGTATATCATGCTCTATGTGTCAACGTCACTGGCTGAAAATGAAAAAAAAAAAAAAAAAATGGCGGGCTTTTGAAGTTACAAGTACATCTTTTACAAAGATTATTTTTAATCTAAGTATATTATGAAGAAAAAACGGAGAAAGAAGTAGTGATGAAGTAAGTTGGAATTATATTCCTTATTTTAAACCAAATTACAAAAGACTTCATCTTAAAAATTCCAATAATTTCGAATTCAAAGTTTTTGTTCAGTGATAGAAAATAATGTGATTTAAGCGAAAGTGAAAACATAAATATTGACTCCCGATGCTTAAGACAATTAAAAAATCCCAAATAAGTGAACTAAGTTATTTAAGAGAAAGTGAAAACATAATGAATTAGAATCGCAATGGAAAATATTACTGAGGACCCCGATAATTAAACGAAAACATGGCTCAAAGTACTTCTAACCAAGCCAAAACTCTTAATAAAAAAAACTGGCTGAAATTTGACACTATTTCTGTGCTATTTCTTTCAAATTTGTGATGCGTATTGTTTGTGTTGGAAAACGATTTTATTCAATAGAAACTGCAGGCATAATAAATGGCCTAGAGGAAATAATAATAAATACGTGTTGCATAAACAGAAAATGCTCATTTCCTTAAATAGGAAATCAAAATCGTTGTTTGCTATTTATTTATCAATTCTGAGACCGGGCATCATAATGGCATGCCCCAGTGAGCAGTCTTCAAATTCCACATGTATAACCGATGTAGCGGGATCAACAACACAGACCCAAACGGAATCTACCTGTTGTGAGACAGACATTTCTGGTAAGTAAGTGGCTCATGCCTTCACAAAGTGAATTAAATATTACTCTCCTTGTCTTTTAATGTGTAACAAGTAGAGACCATTCCAGTCTCGTGATAGTCGACAATTTTCGATAGATCAGCCGTTTTTATTGTATTTGTCGGGGATGTTAACTACTCTTGCTTATTTTCATCACTCAGTTTTATAATTAAGTTTTAGTAGCAGTGAGCTACTTGTGAAAGAGTTCGTTCAGTTCACTGCCACCTTACCTATTTCTGCCGCCAAGCAGTAATGATTACTGTGTTCCGGTTTTAAAAGGTAAGGGTGCTGGTGAAATTACAGGCACATGGGACGTGTTCAGTTTACGGGGTGTGCTCATGCTCTTCGGTGGCACAGCAGTTAGTACTATGGGCGCTTGATGAGGAGGTCGGTTCCCGATTTGGGCCAATTTAAGAAACGAATATTTCAAGTTGATTTTGGTCTGAGTATTCTGGATTATCGTTGTTTTGGTATTCTTACTACAGGAAATTCGGCAGTAGTTTGGCATATTTCCCCCTAAATATTTCTCTTTGGCATTTAACCAAAAAAACACTTATATGGCAGCCATATTCAAAATGGCGACAAGAAAATTTTGACTCCAAATTATGATTAAGGATTCCTGAAGACCCTCCCATGCCAATTTTCAGCTGGATCGAAGCTTTTCTTTGGCCGCCATTTTGAAATCGCCATCTTGAATTTTTTTTAATCCAGGTAGTTGACCAGTATTACCCTCTAGGACATTCCTTCGAGCACCTGCTACCTATCTCTAATAGTTTCCGTGATAGGAGGCATTGAAATTTGTATGGCGGCCATCTTATTTATTTGAATTTCGAACATTTTTTACTTCCCGCGGAAATTGACCAGGGTGTATCTCATAAAAATGCACAAAAATCCCCCCCCATGTATTATAGTTTTTGCAGGCCGTTGATCACTCATTTACATTTTCCACATTCAGGTCTTCTCATATTTTATTCTTTGCCTTGGAGAGCCTATCCGCGTACAATGGTATAAATATCTTTTTTCCACCATTTCGGGAAGTACGCGTCCTATTTTTCTAAGTGAGTCTGAACTTGTAGCTTTATTTATATAACAAAATGCTTGTTTAAGCCACATTTCCTTTTTTTTGGAGAATTTGGTTGTATCGCTATTATACTGGGAGAAACAATTATTGCACAAAAAATAAGGGTGGCAGGTAACCGATGTATGCACGTTGCATCTGACCGGCTAGTCTGGCAACCTTTGGGGGAGGCCTAAGTTCAGCATTGGACGTCTTACGGCTGATATGATGATGATGATGACTGACAATCATTATCAAACTTCTTTTTGTAACTGTGAAACTGGAGGAATAAATTACAGCGTTCATATCACCACAATACAATGTGTCCTTATTATTGTTACAATTAATTATTACTAATAATATTCTCATTTTCAGGCAAATACTCGATAGCTTATGTAACAGTGCCAAATATAGAAACTGCCAAGAAATTGGCTCATGGTTTGGTGGAGACGCGACTAGCTGCATGTGTTAATATTGTACCACAAATAATTTCCATTTACCAGTGGAAGGGAGAAGTTAATGAGGATGCTGAAGTAAGTACAACACATTATTCTGCTACATATATGTATATATATAAAATTTTACAAAATGAGGAAAAATGTGGGTTATGCTACTTTATATGATAGTAGTATACTACCCACATTAGTTTTGTTTCTACAAAATTACTTGAAATAATACTAAACCACACAATTATTTTATATTTCAAGGCTTTTTTCATGTATAAAAAAAATAATACAAGAATTGTTATTAATAATTTAATAACTAAATATTATTATTATGTACTTTAGTATCATTTAAAGCATAGGTTCCCAAACTTATTGGCTCACCGCCCACTAGATAAAAAATTTCAACACCCACACCACAAAAAATAATTGAAAACATGTATTTTTTATATTAACCTAACACAAAAATGAAAATGATATATTATGACATTTATTTATATAGATTTATATAGACAAGTCAGGTTTTTTTAAATGGGGTATCATCTCCTGGATAGTGTCAACGCCCCCCAATTACTTCCGAGACCCCTACCCCCCCTAGGACTTATCAGCACCCCTGGGAGGCGGTAGGGACGAATTTGGGAAACTATGATTTAAAGTAATATTGTAGAAAAAAATTAAAGTGTGTTACACCACTTATGTGCTGATAGCCTCAATTATGTTTGTACTGGTAGTGAGAGCTTAGTTGGAGAACCTAGGTTTGATTCCCACTTAGAGGGTACACTTGCATGTTTCTTTCAAATAATGAACAGTAAAGGAAAACATTATTATTAAAATTCACATTGAAGACTAATAAACACTTCAAAGCCAACTCCAACCCAAATTGACCCTGTATAATTCTATTGCTTAACCGTTTTCCTGGGAGGGAACCCCTCCAGTGAGGTACTTTTACTGAATCAAACCCCTTTTTATTTAGAAGCTTGTCTATGTGGCATTTCATACAAAAATGTTGAGGCATAACATGTGGCAAAATTGTTCTATAATCTGAATGCCTCAGTGGCCTAACGGTTTACATTGTGGGCGCTATATGCGGAAGTCCCCGGGTTCGATTCCCAGTTGGACCAATTTGGGAAATGAACTTTTCTAAATTGGTCAGGGTGTTCTGGGAAGTGCCCCAATGGGAATTCCGTTAATCTGGTACTCATTGTACATATAATTTTATACTTTAAATGCGCTTGTCTGGCACATATTAGCACTGAATTGTTTTTCATAAACATAATATTAAATACACACAGAGAGACATCCAAGAACTAGCAACCCATAATGCAGTAGTTGCAAAATTCAGCCTTATTGTTAAACAGCAAAATGATTAATGGAAATCATGATGGGGAAAATTATATGGAGGATGCAATAAATTAAAAAAAATATTCAGTAATGTAACCAACATCCAATATGACAGTACATAATATGTGTATAAGTGACTATCTTATACTAAGCGGAAAGGGTCTACCTAATAATAAATGCTTTTTTCAGGGTCTCCTGATGATAAAAACCAAAACAGACAAAGTAAACAAAGTAACAGCCTATGTGAAAGAAAACCATCCATACACAGTATGTGAAGTGATATCTGTACCTATACAAAATGGTAACCCAGATTACTTGAAGTGGATTGAAGAATCTATAGGTTGACCTTGTTGTTGTTGACCCAAGGAAATACATAATGGATTTAGGATGCAATAATATTATAAGTCAAAATCGAATAATCATTTATTCCATAGGTAAAAATTTTTTACACTTGATAACGTCATTTTTTAAGATACTGCTTGTTCACTATGCTGACCTCCCTGAGAATAATGAGCAAAAAACTCTAGGAATTGCTCTTTTCAAATAAACTTAAATGCTATGGAATACACTTTGAATCATAATTGTGTGGAATCTAGACACATGTTATCTTTCCATACATTTTTATCTAACACATACTCTTAAATTTTGTAATATGCCTTTTTAATAAAACTTACGAAATGATAATCTTAAAATATACTCCAGAATCTTATTGTACAAACATATACAATTAACCATAAAAGAATTTATTGTTTACCTTAATTAAAACGAAATTGTGGTACCATGAGTTTCGACTTAGTTCTAAGATTCATATTATGGATATTTCCTTTTTTGATGAAATTATGTATATTTTTACAAAATATTTCAATATATGTACTGTGATGCCACTGTTATGATACCAGACTCCTTAAACTTTTCTCTGAGAGAAACCCGAGAATCTAAACGGTACTCGAACTAATTGCTCGTTTTTGCAACAGTATGGTGTATATATGTACCGGTTTATCCCACATAAGAATTCCGTAGGACATTATACCATTAAAATAACTAAAGTAAACTAGTCTAGCAGTAGCAACATTGGTAACAATAAGAAAAAGATGTAACTTATGATAACAAACAATGTAACAAAAATGTTGAATTTGTCAAGGTCTTAAGCAATACATTCATTGAAATCTTACACTAAAAACTTTTTACGAATTCTGCACCAGATTTATTATCAAAGAAATTAATGTTATTCAAAATTCCTTGCCTTAAGCAATCTGTGGTTAAATACCTTAACTATTTTTATTTAATTATTAAACTAATAGATTTCTTTTTCTTAATGAATGGCTTGTGAGACTACTTAGCCTCAATTCTGCCAGTGTCCGTTTTCTAGTTTCATAAACGTTATGGAGGTTGTGTTAGAATTTTGTTCGGTGACTCAGAGGGAGAATCGAAGAACTAATAGATTGGTTGGGGTTAACAGTGCTTGACACTTAATTGGCAAATAGTGAGTATGATGTACATCAATCTCAGGGTCGTACTCTAGAACTCTACTCAATGCTCAAGTCAGGACTTGAGTATGATTCAAACCAATAGAAATCATACTCAAGTCCTTGCCATTGGGGTCGTATTTCCAGTGCTTGAAATCATACTCAAGTCTGCTCAAATCCTGACTTGAGCATTGAGTACAGTTCTGGAATACGACCCTAAAACATCCTTACGTGACTGCTGTTTTATTATTTACTGTTTTATTGTTATTGCAGCCCTTCATTGTGACCAGCAATTATCTATTGTGATCACTACTAATTACAACTTTGAGACAAGATCAACAGAATTAAGGAACTAGGATTTTCTTGACTTCAATTGTCTGAATCTCCCCTGGCTGGGGTATATTCTTATCAAAGAGTGTTTATTGTATGCCCATGAAATGGCAGCCATCGATTATATAACCAGAAATAGAGACGAAATGAGGTCAAATCAGGGCAAATGGGCCTTATATCACTTTTAAATATGAACTCTAGTTTTCGCTGAAATCAGAAATCTGAAATAATACAGCGCCATCAACTGACCTGCATCTACGTCTCATATATTAAAAAAATATTCTGTATTTATTGTATTAAAGATAATATCTCTTAAGTATGGAGGGCTGTTCCATTGAATGGTGTGGGAAAAACAGCAAACATCTAATTAGAAAACAAACGGAATCACATTTCATCGGTAATTAAATATTAAATACGTCATTTTTCAATGTTCGTCCATTATAGCAAAGCTCAAGTTAAACTAGGTCCATTTGAAATGAAACAATTGACGACACCCGGCTGGCCAATCGGAGCGCAGTTGTCACCGTAATGATATGGCAGAATAGTTTTCAAACAAATTGAATGACATTTCGTCTCTATTTCTGATTATGGTACATATCGAGTAGATGACGGCAGCATTGGTTTAGGAGATGCAAAAGAGTCATTTGATTTATAACCGGATAAAGTCCCAACTCTTGCTTTGCTTGACACGTGAACAAACAGTCAATAGTTTTTTTACCTTTGTATTGTCAACTCCTAAATCAACAATATTCAAAAACATTTTACTGTACTGTATAACTGTATGCATCAACATTAAACAAATATTAAGAATTAAATTGTAAAACGATATTTTTCTTTAATAAATAAGCTTTAAACCTACCATGTTTTGAAAATATACTCCAGAAAGGTAGGTAATTATTACATACATACACAAATGTTCACACCCAAGACGGGTGCAGACTGTACACGAGAAAAATTATCACGAAAGAAGAACCAAATTTTTACTCCAGACCTGACCCAAAATATACCTAAATTCTATGCATGTACGAGTAGTTTTTGTTTTCATCTTGAGCATATTCTTGTACAGAGCCAATACCCGGACATCGTTTGTCTAATAGGAACGAAATTTCAATAACTTTCACATGGCACTGTCTTCGTGACATACTAGACATGACGAGGTCACAAGCGCTACAAGGCATATATTGGCGTGTGCCAAACCCACTAACAACATGACCATGTTAAAGCAAAGACGTTGGCTAAGATATGTCCATCACATGCACTTTCTCATGTGAATAGTTGGCTGCAAGTGACGCCTGGAGAAAAACTATAGCTAACGGTGTCATCGCATAACTGACTTCACTATTTAGCTCACAAACGGTGTACATGGCCTCGCAAGCCTGATTAATAGCTGAATAATCCACAGGGTCTATCATTTGCCAAAAATACGGTCGTGATTGTGACGGAAGGGTGTTATTATCTCTAATTTATATTTCAACTCGGCGCAATCTAAATCATTTGCTATAGGTATATAAAAGGCCAATGATGATGAATGAAATGGGCGACGCACTTGTTTATTTGGATGTTGTAGGCTAAGATTGTAGGTAGTAGATTAGTATTATTTATAAGACTATGCAATATGGATTAAATATAACATAAAAAGTATAAGCAATGAAGAAAAAATATGAAGTATTTATATTAATATTTTATTTATTACACTGATTTTTATACAAACAAGTCTTCGTAGTGTGTTACAAGTTCTTCCCAAAACCAGACAAGAACCTAATTCAATAGTCAACACATTGAAAAAACTGCTTACTAATTTTTAACGCTAAAACGTTACACTTTTAAATAAGCGTGCTTAAAAAAGCCCTTTTCACTTAAACGCTTTTTGGTTCGAAGCTTACAAAATCGTTTAATCCCATAGACTTCATTTTAAAAAAGCTTGCAATATTGTGTTGACAGAGTAAAACGAGAATTGGTTTTTGAGATACGTAAGTAACTTTATTTATAAAACACGAGTTATATTTTTATTTAGAACATTATTTACATTGACAAATTAACGTGATTAAGAAACATAGATGGCGGAACTTGATATTTAGGCACGTTGTAAAAAATGAAATTGTTGCAGCATGTTTGTATGGTTATATTAAAAATCTAAGTGTTTTTTGTTTAAACGCCCATCTCTACATTTTAATGTTGTGATTACCGATGTAAGCAGCAAATTTCTGAAAGAAAACGGGTGGTACCTTACCTAGCTTTTATTATGATCAAGACGATTCCACTGTTACAACTTCCATTGTCCGTCAGTATGGCTACGGTTACGGTTACGGTTGGTCCACTAAACGAAATATACAAATCAAACTGTGCTCATTATTTATTACCTATTTTCTACTATTTAGTACCTTATTGACATACTTTCTACCTAGCGCTAACGGAAATATTAAAGAAATAAAGAGGCCAGCCATTCTGACGTCAGGTTGGCTGATCACATTACGTTTTTCTTGGTTCTACCAGTATAGAATTTACTTTTTTTAATATAACTATTTACTGCCTAATTTCTACCTAAACATACTTTTTTTCCACTATTTTAGGAAGCTTCTATAAAAAGTTATTTAAAAATATAATAAAACACCTTTGCAAAAGTAATCTTTTAAAAAGACAGTTTGTCTTCTCCGTGTACCTAATTACTAATATGTTCAGGCGCTTAGCCTATATGTCAACAATGGTTTCTGGATTATCTTTGCGAGCAATATTTTATAACAATTATTATAGTAATTACTAGTTGAAATCACTATTACAAATGTAAATGTCATTTGTAAGTATTAAGGCATGTGAACGAATTACAATAATTTAATTAATAATCATTTAGTTGGTGTTTACCTACTATCACAATATAATAAAAATAGAAGTACCGCTAATATTTTAACCAATCAGGAGTGCCTTTTAGAATCGATAAAAAACTAACTACTTCTCACATTGACACTTCTCATGAAAGAATATTAAAATGGATGTAGCTTAAAGTTTATTAGAGAAGTCTAAGCAATTTCCTACCTGCCAAATAAGTTTAAAAAAAAAGGATAAAATAATATTTTTGAAGGACTGTTTTGTGGAGAAAAAGCTCTTAGTTTCTTATGATATTCTAAAGACGGTTTTATTGACGTGTAGAGAATTATATTCCGGCGTTAACAAAGCGCCGGGTTAAAACCCGGGCGCTTGCCCATCTCATCACATAGGTATTAAAATAAAGCTTATGATATAGGTTTGCGGGTATGGTGCACTACGCTCACTTTCTTCCACTACCGTAGACTGGGGTCGGGGGACCCCTTCTACCAAGCTTGAGGGTGCCCTATATCCACCTCGGGGCAACCTCCAAAGGGCTGGGCCCGCTCGCTCCGGGCCGCCGAGGCAAGCGGATCCTGGAGCGCGTTTCGATGACGGTGGAGTTAACCGCTGGGTTTTGGTAGGAATACGAAACTATCCTCCGGGAGTCCGGGAGTCGCTTGCTGCTCCCCCGAACCGAGAGGTACGCCTAACGCATTTCCCACCGATAAAAAAAGGTTTGCGGGTATGGTCAGGTGTGTTGTGTTATATATAGTATGCTTACATTATCACTATGCCGCAGTTAGTAGAACTACTGATTATTCTGCCAAGTCCTAAGGTGAGGCGGTAAAAAAGATATAACGCCGAATAGAGAATTAGTACGGTGTATGAATATAAATATATAATTATAATACTAACTGTATAAGTAAATACTTAGGCGATTATTGTAAGCTATAAAAGGTTTTTCGTTTATATAAGCACTAGTAAAGTACGTACATTATAAATACATTACCATCTAGTCAAATACAAGACTAATAAGAACATTTTACCTAATCTAATAAACAAAGTAAACTGAGTCCTATATGCTTTAAGACTAAGAATTCACCCTCTGGCACCCAATTTTTCTTATCTATTAATGAGAAGACACTTTTCTAATGTTGTTCACTTTGTTCTTTTTGTTATGTGTCACTAGCACTATTTCATTTAATCATACATTAACATCTACGCTAAATGAAATCCGTTTTAAACGTCTTATAATATCTGTATGCACAAGGAGCGAAGGTCTCGATGTTCACGTGATGGTGAAGCCTGTATTGGAGGGCTATAAAAAGGTGGAAGAGGTAATTGGAAAGAAAAAAGAAGGTGACAGGTGTATGTGTTTAGTAATGAGTTTGATTTATTAAGAAATATGTACAAAAAGAAAAACTTAAATTTAGGCTGCTACGCGGTGTAATAAAAACCAGTTTTGGTTTGACCGTATTCACCATCTAGACAGATAAATTTTATGAAGCTAATAACTAAATTCTTGCTATTCATAATACCAAAAAAATAAAAACTTTGGTAGGTATCCATCACATCTGCTCTGCTTTGTTGTGTGGTTGTACAATAGAAGATAAATGGCATTTTTATCAAACACTCGCCAAAGTATTCTGAATAATTTTTAAGCGCTTATTTAAAAGATCGAATTGAGATTTAAGAGAAATTAAGATTTCTTATGGGTGTTGTATGTCATTCCATAGTCCATCCATTTTTGTCGCGTTGTACCTGTAGCAACCACATTTACAGAGTTTCACATTTTGAACCGTTCTTATAGGAGGCGTCATTGCGTTGAATTTAATTTAAATTTTAAGGGGCTTGATGTTCTCTTGATCCAACACACACAACCGCGTGTATGGAAATTTATACATGTAGCGAAGTTATAACTAATTATATCCGTAACCATTGTTGAACTGTCTTGCTATACATTGTTTAAATTCGAGAATATTATGGAAAATGTTTCGTAATTTCACTTAATATTTCCTATTCTTTGAAAGAAAGTCTTTGAAATTTTTCCTTTTCTACATTCCTTATAGTAATAAAATAACGACGCATGAAACAAATCCATGGATAATTTTGTGTATTGCCATCTTTTTATCTCTGTGTTAACTACAGAAACAGAAGTATACTATTTGGCTTTGCTACATCTGAAACCATTTAGAGGCTACTTTCATAATCACGCGTAGATGCTAGATGTCGCAGAAGGTATAAAATCTGGCGTTCGCAGACGCTAAATTTTGAATTAGATGTGTTTTTTTTCATCCTACTCCATCTTTATAAAATCCTTAAAGTACCTATTTTATATACATACATAAATATATTTTCGTTAAATAAAATTCGATTACGCCCCAAACATTGGTTCATACCTAGTTAAATATTAAGATTATAATTGCCTTTTAGGGTTATTTTAGCATTACATAAATGAAGTTTAAAAACTACACGTAAGACAAAGAAAAGACAAATTGGTACAAAATTTAACCCACACCGTTGCGTTCGCTTTCGACCAATCGTAGCGCGCCCGTAGAACGTCTACGAGGTTCGTAGCGCTTGTTGACGCAGTCATAAGGGCGGCGTAGCGCTGCGCTTATCGGGAACCATTTCGAATACGTTGACCTCCAAAACCTCCGCATTCCCAGAGCTTGCCGCTCCTTTAATCGGTGACGTAACTGCGCCATCGAACCTAGCATGGGTGAGAGTGAAGGCTTTCGGACACTTAAAGCTAAATTAATTACATTATAGCTTAAATGCAGTAAAAATCTTTACTAACACCTCTGCAGTCGTAAAAACTGTCATAAATCTGCTACAAAAGCAATGGGTTTGTCGCTCTAAGGGTTGTGCGAGCCACAGGTCGCAACTCACAGACAGCAACGCGAGTAGCGAGGTGCAGCTGCAGCATCTGGAGCAGCAGGAGAAGTTAGCAAGTGCAGCATGTGCTCATCGGGTGCTGAGTGACGGCGGCGGTGGGCGCGTGCGCGGATCGATCGCGCGGCATCGACCGGGCGCCAGGCGCGGCGGCGACGGGCGGCAGGCGGGCACGCGGGGCGGGGCCTCCGCGGCAGTCGCGCGCGAACACGGCGTGCGAGCGCGCGCATTGCACGTGCATGGCGACTGCACGACTGACTGGATGCCTCGCGCCCTCGGGGAATGGCTTCGTCCGAGGAAGACAGCACTACCGTGGCCGCGCCTGAAGATGAATGCCTCAGTGTCCGAAAATGGTGGTGCTTTCTCCTATCGTCGATTTTCACATTCCTCGCGGGGTTTATGGTGGTGCTGGCATGGCGCGCGTGCACGTTCGTGTGCTGCCGCAAGGAGCCCGAGCTGGCTCCCAACGATCCCAAACAGAAGGAGCAAAAGGCAGCGCGGCAGAACAAACAGGAGTTCGAGGGCACCTTCATGACCGAGGCCAAGGACTGGGCCGGCGAACTCATCTCCGGCCAAACCACCACCGGACGGATACTGGTGAGTACCAACTAGAAATAGTCGCTTATTCCGTTTCTATAGGTGGACATCAAGTGAAACGAAACTAAGGCGTACATGTTATGTTTCAGAATTATTTTACTTAATAACCTACTTGTGAGTGTTCGACCTTTGTATTAATAATTATAACAAAGTAATGGAGTAATTTCACATAAATTAATTGAATATCAATTCAATAAAAATTTAAACCTACTTATTTACTCAAAACGTATACCTATCAATGTATCCCTATTAAACCTTACCATCACGGATGATCAACCCGCACCTTGAACAAGGTAATTATAGTGTTTATAGTTTCAACATTAGACACCTTTTACTCGTATTTGTAGTATTAACGCAATTATTTAAACTTTTTGTGGCCATTGCTTAACGTGAGTTTCATTTACTTTTTTTGGGAACTTCGTTCATTCGCTATCACTTAAAATTTAATTCTACCCGCAAAAAATATTGTATATACCTACCGGTAATCCATCAATGACAAAGTATCTAGATACACAAACATTCTGCAAATGCCAACAAATGTCACAAGGCCTTATTACTCCCAAGTCTTGACACAACATTTTCTATATAAAATTTACTTATACATATGCTTTAGACCACAATTGTCGTGTACCAACTTAAACATTTTCCTCGATAATTATGATACACGTATACGAATGCTCATTACATAATGTTTGGAAAAAATATTTAATTGAGTATTTAGCTGACCTTTTTTCCCATTCAATATTTAACAATATTATATTCAAATAACAAAAAATGGTTACTTTTGTGAAGTCGTGGAAAAACTATATATACTGAAGGAACAATACAAATTTACAGTTTCACAAAATTTTATAAAACAAAAATTGTAATATTTTGCCATTCAATTCAAGACCGTAAGATGTGTGTTTCGACACCCAAACTGTTGGCTTTTAAACACTGTTCTTCTGTGCTTCACTTTGACAGATAATGAGACTAAAATATTTGTGCTACCTACCACCCAAAACCCACCAAGGAGTTCGCTAAAACTGCTATATAGCCTAAATTATTATAATTACCTACAGGTTTTGACATTTCAAAGAGTTCTACTGGTTTCGGGAACACAACAAAGAGTCCCATGTTGTTTCATTATAATTTTTAATCCAAGAACAATTTTAATGTTTTGTCGTTTTGCGTGTCATAGCCCCATTAAAGTAGCTTTTGTTTTTACCAAGTAAATGTGCTGTTCCCTATGGTATGAAAGCACATATTTGTTAACACAATACACAAGTGTCTATTATTCAGGGCAAAGTCTAATGCATGAATTCGTGTACATAAATGAGTAGCAGTAGCACCCCTCGTGAAAGAGTTCGTCCAGAGACGTATTGCCACCTTACCTACCTCTGCCTATAATAGTAATGTGGGCATTACCGCGTCACGGTTTTGAAGAGTAAGGTTATACATATTATATATAATTACAGGCATGTGGGACTTTTCGACTTATGTCTCAGGGTGACGGGAGCACAGGCAGTTCTTTGCGATGTTTTAAAGCTCTGAGCAGCACTGCAACTGTTATGGACAGCCGTGCCGCTTACCATCAGGCGCATAACCTGTTCGTCCCGTCACTTTGTATCATTAAAAAAAAAATTAAAGTGAAACAAGTGAAAACGTTCCGGGGTAACTTTTACTTAAATATGCTTAAAATAATTTTACTCAGGTCATATTAAATAGATAAAATATATAATGTATTAAAGAGGCTCGTATCCGGAGTGAATGACGGATAAAAAAGAAATAACAAACAATATAAAAACATTTAATCATGCACCAAAATATTTATAAAACCGGCAAGAGTACCTACCTAATTTTATAAATTTAAAACCTAAAAGAATGTTAACGCAGACAAATGAAAAGAGCTTTATTTCAAAATCCTTGTACATAAAAGTCATTGTTGTTTACTAATTATTATAATCGATTTAAGAAAGATGACGTAGTGACCAGGCCAGAGAGAAAGATGCTTCGATGATTTGGTCATGTAGAATGAATGAATGTTGGTAGATTGACGGCACAAATTTCTAGAGCGAATGTGGATGTGGATGGAGATGTCTCTCAGTCAGATTGAGGACGTCCTTAAAACAGGCCGGGTCAAATGAGGAGACTGATAGGAGTGGAGGAGGCGAAGGAGATTTATATTATATATTTTTATGAAAAAGCAGAAATTTCACAAGAGTATTTAAAACTAAATAGTAAGTAACTTAACAAAATATTAAACTTATGTGACGTTATGTATCTAAAATATTACTGCACAGTTTAGGCGTAACTGATATAAGTGCAATCTGTGATATAAATAAATCACATATGTTTGCACAGTATTATTATTTAAATAATTATTACAAGATTGAAGAAAGTGAAACTAGAAATAACTGTTTAAATAACTTTTAAAGCTAATGTAGTTGAGACTTTATGACTAAATACGTCACAATTATACCCAGGTATACGAAAGTAGGAATATTCGCCACATTATCCGGATACGTGAGATGGGTGCAATTTATTAGAATCCACATCCGTATTAATATGAAATGTTGCGGACATGTTGATGTTTCCGTATGGTATTTTTGGCAATCGCTCGCCCATTACATTCTGTTGCAGAGGTAATAACGGGAGCTGTTATAAGTTCACAGGTGAACAAAAGCGTAAACCTTTTGTTGTAAACATTTTTAATATCTCTTTAATGTTTCAACATACGAATTAGGGGATATTTTAAAATGTTAACGAGTAAGTATGTCTGAAATTGCAAATGGCAAGAGAATCAACAGAAGAATACAAAAGTAGAGATTTTTCAAACGTTCAGAACCTCACAGAGATTGAGGAGCCGGAAAAGTTTCGTCGAATGTGTCGATCTTCCGAGCATTGAGCCAGTCAGACGAGGGCCAGCCTTTGGCGCGAAAAAGTGCCATCTCAGCCTTTGTTCCGCCTTCCGAGAGTCGTCCTCCTGGATTTGAATTATCAAGGCAAATCTGGAAGTCTAGATAAGCTTCGGACTCTGATTGATGGGCGTAAGGACAATTTGTTCAGGTTGGAATTTTTCGATGGTTCTAACCTGGAATGTTTGTGCGGTGCGATTCAAACGATGGTCCATTTTACATTGTGCCCTAACACCTGCACGCTTGAGGATTTAACGGCGGCTACTAGTGACGCGGTCGGCGTGGCTGGGTTCTGGGCCAATATAGTGTAGTGTATGCCATAAGAAGATACGATAAGGAGACCTTATTGTGCAAGTCTACGCTGAATGTGTCTTTACTGAATCTTTTCTTATTTTCATCATACAAAAATACGAATAGAGCCAAAATTCATATTAAAAAAAAGTAAATGCATTTTCCCGACTCTGATATCAACTACCGATACATTGTTACAACTCGCAAAAACTCTTTCATCACGCATTATAATTACATTAGTGTGCCGTTAAATAAACGACGGGACTGCAAAGGAATTATCGCTACAAAAACAATTATGAAATCGGTATTTTTAATAAATACACGATGTACAAAATTCTATATTTGTTATTTTTAGCAACAGCAGGTCACGTTTGGACATACTAACTTTGCTACTAAAAGTAAAAGCTATCTGTCGCTTCGTGTGCGCGCAGCACGTGAGACGCGATAGAGGGCGGACCGTGACCCAGTTCCGTATCGATGTAGCCCTAGCGCCCTCTCCATTGATTTTGACCAACTCCTCGTAAGTAGCCGCTTTGTACGTTTACGAAATCATCGATTCGTCTTCTTCTTATTGATAGACTATGACGCTGTTTAAACTCTGCATTTTTTTCTGTCACTGTGTTCGAAATAATTTTTATGCGTTGCCAGTGGCGTAAAGATGTTCTATGCCGAATAAAAAATTAATAATTACCGTATTAATGATTAAAAGTTATTTTAATTATTAATAAAAACAGCGCATATTTTATTTTTCAACTTTATTAAACAGTCATGACAATAATATAATGTAATACATACCAGAGATATATATACATATGTATACAAACCCTTTGCCAAAATAAATGGGCAAAGTTTTCTTTACAACTATTCAAATCGTATAAAAAGGGGTTTGCATAAGAACATACGGAAACATATTTGGTCTACATATTAAAGAGTACTGGCGGTAAGATGAAACGTTCTAAATATCATTAGCATCATCATCAAGCCATTTATAGGTCCCACTGCTTAGCACGGGTCTCCTCTCAGGCGAAGGTTTAGGCCAAAGTCCGCCACGCTGGCCCACGTGGTGGTGGGTGGGGGCTTCACACGTTTTCCGATTGTGAACCTTCTGCATCGTGTAGGTTTCATCACAATGTTTTCTTTTACCGAAAAACTGACGGTAAATTTCAAATAAAATTTCGCATATACATTCCGAAGAAACTCAGGGTCGTATTCTAGAACTCTACTCAATGCTCAAGTCAGGATTCGAGTATGATTCAAAGCACTAGAAATCATACTCAAATCCTTGCCATTATGGTCGTATTTCCAGTGCTTGAAATCATACTCAAGTCTGCTCAAATCCTGACTTGAGCATTGAGTAGAGTTCTGGAATACGAGCATCAGAGGTGCGACGCAGGAGTCGAACCCACGGCCTCTGCTTGAGAGGCGGTAGGTGAAACAATTGCGCTACCACGGCAATGTTCTACATATGACGAGTTTATTTATTAAAAAACAATGGAATAAATAGACTTTTAAAAGTTGTGTGTGTGGTTATAACTTATGTTCATTATTAAAATTACTGTTAAGTGATTTTGCGAATATTATATAATATTAATAAATATTGCTAATATCCAATCCAATGCTAATGTCCAATTGTTAAATAATGTTTTTGTGACAAATTGTATACCGTAATAAAGTAGACAATAATCGCTGGTTTTATAGTGGCTCTTCTTGAGGAAAGCTTTACTCCATGTTATGTGTCGGAACGGTATGGCATCAATTGTTCTACTGTTCAGAGGTTCACACAATTTTAAGGTACCAGCTCATACAACAGGA